CAAGCGTTCATATAAAAATATTTTAACATACATAATTAAATATAATTGCCTTACATGCATTATGTCGTTAAGAACAGTGTAAAAGGGAAAAGGTCATTCTTAACAGGTTATGCAGAGATCACACCAACATTACACAGGAATACCATCTAATGGGAGGGGAGATGTGAGACCACGTCGGTGCCTTTGTGTGGAGAACTTAATACAATAGAGCATATACAAGGAAAGAATTAATTCTGCAAAGAAAGAAATAGACATCTGCAATGACCCATGCACGACCTTGAGGCTCGGCAGCAGACAGATTGCTGATCCCAATATCTCAGGGCATATGTATTTTTAGTTGTATGTAGACCATTATACATTCAAGTATATAATATGCATTATTTATTGTAAATGTATTTATTTGCGCGAATGGAAGGTCATATGCTTATTACCCCAAGGGATATCGAGTACAATGGGGTAGTGTGAATATCATGCATTAGCGTGGATGGCAGGGTTTATCCCCAATTGCCCCGAGGAATAGCGAGTACTCTGGGATAGTGTGAACGAAGTTTGGTGTATGAATGTAATTTATTAGCGTGAATCGAGAGGCAAATCCCGAATTAACCCGAGGGATATCGAACACTCTGCACTGCTTTTGTATTTCTGTGTATTTCTGTTTATTATTTGTGTTATTTTATCCAGAATTGACGAGGCCCTGAGGTATAGAGAAGTTAGAGGATAAAGAAAGGATAGTTATAGGATAAAGGAAAGAGAGAGTTGGTTACCGTTATATCTTAAAACATCATAACATGGCAGAGAAGCAATAAAAGAAATTACTATGTTTAAAACGCGAGAGAAATAAGAAAAGAAATGCAAAGCTGAAGAAAATAGGGTGTCGATGATCAACATACTTTCCCGATCCTAAAACTTAATTTAGGTTATAAAAACGTAAATTTACTCTCTAAATTACACATTATGCACTATGTTTATTTTTTCAAAAATTAATAAATTACTTTACAAATGTTTATATTTCTAGAAGACATCAAACCGTAGTCAAATGGATGTTAAAGATAGCGGCTTACTTCATGGAAAAATTGTTTTCTGTTTGTAGAATTGTGAACAAATCTTTATGATTTTTTTTTTTGCTTTTTCCTTTATATTACAACTACCTTCATTTTGGTATCTAGTAATAGTGTATGAATAAGTAATTAAGAAAACAAGAGTGGAGAAACTACCCACTGGTAGTACTCCTAACTATTCTTTATTCAATTGTCACTGGATAGAAGATCCCGTGGCCATTGTCTTTTTAGTCGGCGAAGAGAGTTGGAAGGAATTCGTCCGGATGAGAGGATTTGAATTTGAGGATTTATAGTGGTTGGGAGGTTTGTGTAAGATTTTCGGCAACGGAAGTGGATTACATTTTGGAAAAAGGAATTTAGGTCTATATTGGTAGTGTCGTTGGACACATAAAATGGAGCATTAAGGATTTTTCTGAGGATGATGGATTAGGCTCTTTGGATGCGTAGGATATTGGAATGTTTGGCTGAACCCCATGGTTCGGCTTCACTAGGGTGATGTAAAGTAGTCTTTTGTTTAAGAGAGGTAGGTTAGAACGTCTGTCAAGAAGTAAGCCGTTTTCGGATTTTCCTAAAATCGGTAGTAGGCTAATGGGTCTGTAGGTTTTAGTTGTTGTGTGTACTGTCTGAATTTGTCGGAGCGGTAAGATCTCAGTTCTATGTTTAGGTGGTGAGTTAGTCTGTTCAGCACTTGTTTGTCCGAAGAGTGGCGGGTCCTTTGTCACTCTTGGCGAGCATGTCTTTTTTTACAGATCAGTTGGCTTATGTAAAGTGGTAGGTTTATGTGTTGTGTTGAGGTGTGTTCGTAGGTGTGCAGCTTCGAGACATTGATGGCGTCTGTTATTGTAGATATTAACTGTTCTATGGCAAAGTCGATGTCGTCGTTCGTCTTTAAAGATATGCTAAGGTTTGTATTGTTCTACGTGTGCATTGACTAGGTTCCAGTCTATTGGTCCATTTAGTAGTGTTGCTCTGGGTGCAATAAGGATTGGGTAGGTGTCTATAGTAAGGAGGACTGGACTATGATCAGAGGATAAGTCATTCAGAATGCACGCGTGGTGGTTGAGAGAGATGAGTTTGGAGGTGATGAAAAAATCAAGGATGTCTGGGCGTTTATTAGTGGCTGAGGGCCAATAGGTAGGATCAGGAAGGGAGATGTAGTTGAGGTGAAGGGAAGAGAGGACATTAAAGAGGACACGACCTCGTGGATTCGTCACTCTGCAGCCCCACTGTTAATGCTTCGCGTTGTAGTCGCCACCAGATAGGAAGCGAGGGCCTAGGGATTGAAAAAGGTCGAGAATTGTTGTTGGGAAACGTTCTGGTTTGGAGGACAATCTTTATGACATGTTCCTTTGACTCTGTGCCAAAACAACAATCACAGCTATCATCTCCGACCTATTTATCTTTCTTAAGTATTGTTTGCGCACGTTATGGTTAGATCTAACAATAACGCTACCCGTGGTTTTACTTTACGTCTTTGCTGACTTGGAATTTTTGAACCAACTAATTTCCACTGTTGACGCAGTTTTAAAAAAAAATGCTCCGTTTTCCGACTTTACATATCCCGATTGCCATTTTTGGATTTGATTACTTTTTAACGTGTTTTAGTAATTCTTTATAATTAAGCAGAAATTTTGAAACCTTTTTTGAAGATGAAGTTAGTTTGGCCATACCCATGCCATTTTAATTTCTTTTTTACTCAGCTTAAGGAGGTGAACTTTTTTATTGGACGGGCCTTCGTTCTTTATATTCTAACTTATTGTTAGATAAATAAACATGTTTTCGCTGAAAGCTCCAGATTAAATAAAAAGTGCAGTCATTAGTGACCGTTAATCGATAATTATTCAGAAATCGTGAGATGCGGTCTGGTATGATGTAGGTTTCAGAAAAACATTTTCTTTATCGTGCCAACGTTTCGATCTTTATTGAGATCATCTTCAGGGCTCAATAAAGATCGAAACGTTGGCACGATAAAGAAAATGTTTTTCTGAAACCTACATCACACCAGAACACATCTCACGATTTCTGTATAATTAAATAAAACGAGCGCTTAGTTTATAATGTTTCGTCCAAAACATTTGTATGCAAGCAAGAAGTTTCAAAGTAATACCGTGACAGTGCTAGGTATCTTAGGTTTATAAAAAATATTTCCTCATACAATCCAAGAGCGACATCGTTTTGAATATATTTTTTGTGTAATCGGGCTCGCCCACGACGCTAAAATTCACGGGATTCTTGGGAAATAGTTGTTTTCTACCGGCCTTTGTTCATGTTACCGTTATTTAAGCGTCAGTTGTATTTTTTCGCTGTTCGAAAGATATGAGATCGATTCGTTCTTGTTTTTTTATTTTATTTTTTCACTTTTACAAACATACCTCAGCGTTAGATGTCGTGGGTTCTAATCCCGCTCGTGACACTAACTTTTTCATTTCATCCAAAACTTTACATAAAAAAGATTAAGAAATTATTCAAAAAGAATATTGAATGTTTTGTTCAAGTAGAAAAAACAAAAGGTAGGACGGCCGTGAAGGGGGTGTCTGACCCCCCTATAAAATCTTTACCTTACGACCACAAATATAATTGAACATTATATACATCATACTTTCCTCTATGATCAACCAGAGTAAAGAAATCCTGTAAAAATAAAATGCTTCGTCAAATTTTTTGAGATTGATACAGACCAAATTAGCAGAAATTAAGGAAATCACGGCCAGCCTTACACTGCTTATTTCCTTGGCGTTGCAATTGTTTTTTTAGAACACCTCCATACCGAAGTAGTGATATCAGTAGAAGAAAAAATGACAATTCAACACCAATTTTTATTCCGATAATTACTTATATTTAGAAGAGTGATAACGATGGGTACAATTTTTTGAAAAAGCCACCAGTTCGTTTCCCTGATTATCTTGAGACCAAATTATATTTTCTTTGTGGAATATCAACATATCCATTAAATATCCTATCCATTTCAGCTATCTCGAAGCAGTGAAAATGCTTGTAGAATATTATTATCGTATAACATTTAAATAAATTAAACTACAATAAACTAATATCCGAGTCAACATAATATATTTGAAATTAAATAAATTATGCTCAATTTTTTTAATCTTGGTTGTTGACAGCAGACATGCTGAGTGTGGAGTTTTACTGAATAACTCGTTTCTGGGCCTCCCTGAAGAGCAAGTTTTGAAGATGCTTGTTTATATCAATGCAAAAGGCTTTTTATAAACCTAGTTGTTTTCGATCATTAAAATTGCGAAATTGTCGTCCTGTAGATTTTACTGTTCATTGAGCTATTTATCTATGTTATTTTTAAATAATTTGGTGAAAATATTTCTAGGCCGTTATATCATACGTGTAAATTCATCAAGACTACAATTTCAGATTTAACAATTTGTGATGGAACACGATGCAGTTTCATCAAGTCATTTCAATTTTCCTGCAGGTTTTATGACGGGTTGGAACTCTTTTCCAATATCTTAAGTGCGAATACCATTTAGCTAAACGTCATAAGTCCAAAAGCTTCCATTTCATAATGGGGTCGTCATAGAAAGAAAATATATTACAGCAAAATAGTCCTCATTCTAAATTTTAAACTGTTTTTTTGGTTATTGTTTACGAAATTAACTATGAGCTTTAAAAAATATATTTTATACTAGTTTGGCTTGTTTATGCCTTTCACAGGTCCAACTTTTATGTATGTACAAACAACCTGTACTTCAAAAATCGTACATTCAAAAAGTTTAACTTCAAAATTAGTATATTTGGAAATATTTTGTGACCAGTGGGTGAGATGGTGAGCCAAAGGTGTGATTACAATCCTCAGATACAGTTCAGTAGCATAATTGACCATCCATTATTTACGGACACTTGAGCAAATTTTTCCAACCGGTTGCCATTAATGCCGTTTAACCCCCGAATGTCAAAATATTGAGAAACACTTACCGAAACAAATAGCCAGGCGATCTTCATCTTTTTGAACGCACCACCAGCACTTCATCAATTAAAAACTGCTTGTCTAATCGACCCCTGAAGCAATTAATCACGTGTCGTTGGAGACCGAATGTGCCATAGCACGGCTTTTGCTTTCCGAATGCTTTCTGAGTCGTACCTTGAACTTGTACCTGTTCCCCACCACGGTCAGCGAAGGAGAGCGTCCCCTCTTCTTCCTCATTTGATATTCGATACAGGATGTCCATACAGTTGGAATCACTACCGCTAACCTTCCTTGGTTCCAGCAATGTTGTTTTGTACATAAGTTAAACAGTTACTGCAACTTGATTCCTTAATAGTTACAAGATATATTCAGCGAAACAACTACAATACAGTGACACCATACAGTTTTCATACAACTTTTATTAATTAAATTTGAACATGTTGCACTTAATTTTATAACGTCAGCGAGTGTTTTTTTCAATCCTTATAATGTTTATGTCATGTTAACTTAAGAGATTTTATACAATTAAAAAATACATTTGCGATATCGTTTAATTTGCCAGATTATCATTTTTGGTTCGCATTTGGATCGTTCAGGTTTATAGAGTGATTTGCACTTTTTAAAAAATATTTTTCTTATCGAATTTTGTATATTCAGAGTGTTCGGCTAGAGGTGTTACAAACTTTTCAGTAGATTCTACATTCAAAATGGAACTAAAAAGTTCTAATTAACTATGGTCCGAATCTCAACAGTTTCGGTGTTATTCCACTTTTTCTGATTTTTTAAGATTTCACGATCTTGATTCAAATAAACAATCTTACCTCCAAAACTAAAAAGTTTTGGAAAAATCCGTTGATACCATTGAAAACCACGTTAAATTTCCAATACGATGTGATCAATACTAAAGTTGTAAACGTTAGTAAAATAAGCGTTTTCGTAGCGAGAACTTTGAAAAAAAATTTTTTTTTCAAAATTGAAAAACTTACTAAGGTGATTCTAAACTACTTTTTCCAAACCTAGAGATCAGCGAATTTCAGAAAACGTACTCCAATTAATATCTTTTTCAGTGGTGTAATTTTTTCTTTAATTACTTTTTTCAAAGATGAAGAAATTGTTGGAGGAAAGGAAAAAATCGGTGGCTGACTGATTAATGAAGAGGCAAATAAAAAAAAAATCAAGAATATTTTGAATGAATTTATTAAACTTTTTTTAAAATTTGGGCTCGAAAAAATAGCCCGAATAGTGCAAGTGTTTATTTATTACACGACTGCAACTTTGGTTAAAGTATTATAGCATTATTATTCTCCGAAATAAAAAAGTTTTAAGATTCAAAATTTTTTTATTTATCTATGTGGTATCTTGTTAACACTATAGCAACTTTTTCTAGTGAGAAAACGCTGTATATACGAAGATGAATATCTTTTGTACGGATTTTGCGGGTTTTATGCGACGGCAGTGCGTCGAAAATACATTATGGAGGGTGAAGAGCATTTCGAATCCAAATTAAAAAATGTTTTATCAATTAATTCAAAATTTCCTTAATTTTTGTTTATTTTTTATTATTATTAATCTTTCCTCCTTACTAATCCTTCAACTACGGTTTATTCGTTTATTTCAAAAATTTCTTCATCTTTTAAAGAAGTAATTAAAAAAGCAATTGCACCACTAAAAAAGATATTATATGGAGTACGTTTACTTAAATTTTCTGGTCTCTAGGTTTGGAAATAGTAGTTTAGAATCACCATAGTAAGTTTTTCAAATTGCAAATTTTTAAGTCTCGCTTCTAAAACGCTTCGCAAGTTTAGTATTGATCACATCTCATTGGAAATTTAACATAGTTGTCAATGGTATCAACAGATTTGTGCAAAACCGTTTAGTTTTGAAGTTATCATTGTTTATTTGAAGCAAGGTCGTGAAATCTTAAAAAATCAAAAAAAGCGGAATAAAGGCAAAGTTTGTAACACGAGTAGCCGAACACCCTGTAACTTTATATCGCGTGAACACACGTCAATACTACAGTCTTAATTGCATAATTATTCTACATGTCAGATTGGACTAAAAAGTTCCGATTGTCAATAATCTGATTTTACATTGTATTCACTTTTTCTGTTATTTCAATCTTTCACTCCACCCACGTATCTCATAAAATATTTATCTTACTGTAAATCGGATTACTTCTATGTAAAATGCATTAAAATCCTATTAGATATATTAGTATTTTTTTATTGGAACCTTAAACGAACAGTACAAAATCAGTTAGAACATAAAATTTTACTTTATTTTTTCTAAAGTTTATGCCGATTTTCTTATCGATCGGAACTGTATGTACTGACAAATATGGCGCGTAAAGAAACATACCGTTTCAAGCTAGTTCACTCTTATTTAAGTAAAAAGGAAATTTTTTTGAAAATTAAGTCAAGGGGCGTCGGTGGCCGCAACGGTTTAGGCGTTTATACGGCGCTCATCACTGGAAGGTAAAGGTCCCTGCATTCGAACCCGACATACTTACAAATAGGCTTTTTTTCAAAAACACGCACCCCGAGGGTTGATATAACCTCTGCTGTTGCGAATCCTCGTTCTCGAAAAAATATGGAAGGTAATGATAAACAACGTACCCAATTAACGTACCGAAATGTCAAGCAATTTTGTTCACAAAAAGGCGCAATAAGATAAAAGGAATTCCTATCCCTTGGTCCGGTAAGGTAAATTACCTGGATTTAACTTTAGACAGTTAACTTTATTTTGGCCCTCACATTAAGGAAAAGGTCACCAAACAGTTTATCAGACTAGTTTTTCCACTGTTGTCAAACGAATCCGGAATGTCTATCTGTAACAAGCGTCTCATTTGTAATGTTTTTTTGCCTGTCCTGTATGGAATTTAACCTGCAAATCTAATTTTATGAAAATGCAAAGAATCCAAAAAAAGTTCCTAAGGCTAGTGACCTCATCTACCAGAAGTACCAGGATAGAGTAAGTGCATGACAAAGCTGAAATCTCTTGGATATACGAAAAACAACACCATTGTAATATTTTTTAAATGAATAAATTAATCTTCCAATTCCGTATAATATATTGACATTATGTATCCTATTTATTTGTTTTATTCTAATAGAACACAAATAGAACGAAAGGAAAGTCCGTATCACACTAAATTCGCGTAGGAATCTCATTTGAACAGCCGTGGGCGCATTGATGTATTACCGGTTTGCGACACTTTCACATCCTAAACAAAAGAAACCCCGTGGAGCAATAACCTAATGACCAAGTGTTGCGAAGGCTTTCAGACCACTCCGATCAAATAAATGCTCAATTTATTATTAGTTTCTATTTAAACCCAAACATTTACAAGAATATCAAGGAAAATAGAAACAATAAATAGTTATAATATCCTTGTTCCCCTTAACAACGTGGGGTTCTTTCTATTATTCATTCAGCATTGTTTTGATCGTATAATGATAAAACTATACTTTTTAACGATAATATCCATATAAATTTTAAACCTTGGTGTCTATCAGTTATCCTTACAACCTACTTCTGAATTGTTGGAAACGTTGATACATCCGGAAAAAAACACGCTGTACTACTCCTTATAAGCTAATCAGATGAGTCATGGGCAATCGTCCGAGGATGTTTTGTACCCGAGAGCTGTGGTCAGTCACGTCGGCTGGAAGGAGACACAGACTTCAAGTTCTACTGCAATTGCTGCAAAATCGTATAACTAAACATTGAACTGTCCTCAAACTGAACCTTGTTACTGCTCTCCGCTATTGAAAGGACCGATATGTTCCTCCGTGTTACTAGTTCGTGGTATGATTAGACCATGAAATTACCGGCACCAGTTGGTAATTACATGCCTTCTTATACTTGCATCACCAAACAATTGGTTTAACTTATAATAAATGCCGTCAACCTTTGTGCCAAAGTAGCATTGCCTGGTAATCCGAGGTGATATAATGCAAATGCTGTAGCTATGCAACCATAGGAACTAAACAACAGTTTAAAAAAAAAAACTGCAAAAGTATCATGAATAATACAAATCATTTGCCACAAAATACGAAGCTTCTCCCATTACCCTACTTGTTTTATACATAACAAAAACTAATTTTCTGTATGCGAGATATTCCTGATACTGCACTTAAATCCATTACTAAAAATGAGGATTAACATTTGTTTATTTTTGGTTAGTATTTTCTATTTTGTTCTAGCCACCACAAGAATATATCAGTTAATTTGATTAAAATTAATAAAATAAGAATAAATTATAAATTTCCCTATTCATTTTCGAGCAATTATGCTGCATAAGTCAAACTGGTTTGAACTTAGACGGCTACATTGTGTAGTTTCTTTGCGCTTTATAAAGTTTTCTTTATTAGCACTTGAAGAATGGTAGTTTCCTATCATTTGGAACAATAAGCATATCTCGACATTCATTGGTTGATAAATTAATAGGGGATATCAAATATGATTAATATTGAACTTAAGTAAACTTGCTTTTAGAAAAATGATAAAGTTTTCACATCAAAATAGACAGATTTATCCAGCAGATAGTTAAGAGAGATAAGGAAGCTGTATAAATGAGAGCGCGTTCCTCAAAACATTTTCCCCCGGCCACGGAAGAAATTTTACCCACTTAATCCCGCAAGTCGCATACAGAAAGTTTGACATGAAATGGTGAAAACGATCCCTGTTGCATTTACAGACGATTAACAGGGCGGTTTCGCCGTTGGGGAAGGCAGGACATTCTTCAACTCCACATTGACCTATATCAGGGATTCCGTACCGTTAACCCAGCAACCACACCTACGTCCTCACGAGGTTTTAATTTCGTGAAAATGGAAGTGAGGCGATCGGCCCCAACAGGAGAGATCTGATTTTTCATTTCGATTTAAATCGATTTTTCTTAAGTCGATTTTTCACACATTTTGATACCATTTTCTGAAGATGTGAATATTATTTTTAAACGACTATGTCGATTAAAGCAAAGCTGTTCGGGGTGTCAATAACTGGATCTTCAAAATAATAATTGGGTATTTAATAAGAATGGTTTATATGCTTACTACCGTTATTTTTTCATTTGTAACAAAATGAGGAATTGATGAGGATCAGATACTAGACAAACAGCAGAACATATTTACAAAATTGCGAAATGTTCTAGGGTTTGG